GGGCCAAGCTTAGTTTAGGATACCTGGTCGGCATGGATGAGTTGGGCTGAAGGGTCTGTTTCTGTGTTGTTTGACTCTTTCACTTCATGATTCTATCAGCTAAACCCAGGCCAAAGCTTGGTCCTTACTGTTTGCCTCAGCATTTCACTCACAATCCTGTTAATTCTGAGACTCCTGCTAGTTCAGTTTGTTTGGGATTACACTGTCCTTGGCTGGTGTCAGCAAGCACAGGTCACTCGTTCATTTTTCTTCTTAAAAACTTCAATCAAAAAAAAAATCAATGAACTGCAGAGAACCAATAAAGTAAGTAAATGAAAAGTGGCCTGTCTGGAGAGATAGTGAGTGTGTGTTTGGTGTTAACAGAGTCATCAGTGCTGTGCACCTTTCACTGAACTCATCGGAATAATTGCTTCGAGCTCACAATAGCTTTGAAAACAGCAGCGGGAAGGGCACAGTGCCCTGGGTTAGAAACTGAAGCATTAAGACCTGAAATCAGATTGAAAGCAAGAAAGCTTTTTCAGTCATCCTTCTATCAGGTTTGACAACACACAGCCCCAGGAAGACTCTTATAAAATTCATTCAACGGATGAGGGTGTCACTTGCTAAGCCAACATTTATTGTCATCAGGCTAATCTCCCCGGAGAAGGTGGTGGCGAGCTGCCTTCTTGAACCGCTGCAGTCCATGTGCTGCAGGTAGACCCACAATGCCCTTAGGGAGGGAATTCCAGGATTTTGACCCAGCGACAATGAAGGAATGGTGATGTATTTCCGAGTCAGGGTGGTGAGTGGTTTGGTAGTAACTTGCAGGTGCCGATGTATCTGCTGCCCTTGTCCTTCTAGATGGAAGTGGTCATGGGTTTGGAAGCTGCTGTCTAGGGAGCCTTGGCAAGTCACTGCATCTTGTAGATGTTACACACTCCTGCTCCTGGGTGTTGGTGCTGGAATAAATGAATGTTGAAGCTTATGGATGCAATGCCAATCCAGTGGGCTGCTTTGTCCTGGATGGTGTCAAGCTTCTTGAGCGTTGTTGGGGCTGCACTCATCCTAGTAAGTGGGGAGTATTCCATCACACTCCTGGCTTGTGCCTTGTAGATTTTGGACAGGCTTTGGGGAGTCAGGAAGTGAGTTAGATTGAATGTAAGTATGTGAGCATAGGGCTTATGGGTGACCAGAAGAGATACTGTAATGATGCTGGAACAGCAATGAGGAGGCACAGAGTTAATGTCCTGGAAACACTGTTTCTAACCCTAACATCACTAATTGTAGAATTTAAATTCCATACATAAATCTGAAACGTAAAGCTACTCATAATGGTGACCATGTAACCAACATGGATTGTTGTGAGAACCCGTCTGGTTCACTAACATTCTTCAGGGGAGGAAATCTGCCACCCTTATCTAGTCTAGCCTACGTGTATCTCCAGACCCACTGCAATGTGGTTGACTCTTAACTACCCTCTGAAATGGTCTGGAAGCCATTGAACTCAATAAAAATCTGGGATGGGCCACAATATCTGACCCTACGAGTAATTCCCTGATCCCATTAAAATATCCATTTAAAACAAGATTTTATGCAAGATTGGAGACAGATTTTTAGAATTTATTGAGGGTGTGAGATGGGACAGCAGCCAGGAGGAACGCTGAAATTGATAGACTGTGCTGTTATCCAGAGGGACAATAAGATGGATGTGGGTTCCTCCTGTAGCTGGAGAGAGGGTAAGGCAGTGGTTGATGATCTTGGAGATGGAGATGATACAGAGTTGGATGCACAGCTTAGGTTCAAAGGAGACCAGGAGATCTGACGTCATATGACAGACCCAGGTGAACAGCTACGGTGCGGGTTTGGTGACTGGGCTACAGTAATGGTATCAGTCTCACATCAAACAGGAGCAAAATGTTCGGCGATTTTAACTTGCAGTCAAAATCCGTTTGGGGTTAAAATCAGGCCCGGGGCTGTTACACAGACAAATGTGAAAACGAGAAGATGGAAAAGAGTGTCGGCTGAGGGGGGAGTTGGGCGAGACGGAGCCGGACGCTCTCAGAATACATGGGAAAGCTGACGGGGTCTTTTTATCACCATTCCTGGCGATGGCCAAGGTAAAGGGTATGGGAGTGGGAAGTAAAGTCTTTGTTTTCACAGGAGATAGCTAGGCCCTTGTACCCACTACAGCCCCCTCACCACCGCAATCCCACACCCCAGTACACATGGGAAACCGTTTGGACAGGGTCTTATTCTGTCCCTGGTTCAGGAAAGCATGTGCCAGCCCCAGTTCAAACTACCATCGATGTTTCTATCCTCCCACCTGCTGCTCCGGTTGGGGGGATCTAATTCTGTTTTGATGATGCGAGATCTGTTTGAAGCATTTCCCACTGTTGCTGGCTTTGTATCTTAGAACTGAGACGGGAGCAGGTTCCTTAACTAATGACACTTCTCCACTATGCGTATTTTATCCAGGCTGGTGGAATGGCCAATTCCTAAGATCTCATACATTTTCAGGTCCAGTATTAAGAACAATCTGTTCCTTTCCTACCCTAAAGGGCAGTTGTGAACCAAATGTTTTGTTTTTAAAAAAACAATTTTTACAAACAACAACTGACCGGGTTTACATGGTCACTATTAAACTAGCTCTCTATTTCCGATTTTTATTGAATTCAAATTACATTACCTGCCAAGGTGGAATTCAAACCCATGTCTCCAGGACATTTTACTTAGGATTGTGCCTTGCTGGTGCAGTGACATTAACATTATGCCATGTACAGACACCTTTAAAAATACCTAACACCCACACACATCTGCTCAAACATATGTGCACATGCACACATGCATGTTGATACACGCAGACACAAATGTGCACACACATACACATACACTCACACCAAGACATACACACACATACAAACTCAGACACACACTTAGAGGAACAGACACACACACACAGGCACACACACTCAGAGGCACACACACACACTCACTCAGAGAGAGAGACACACACACACACACACAATCACTCAGACTCAACAAGACACACACACATACTTACTCACAGGCACACACATACAGACACACACTCTCACGTACTTACACACACACAGACACACACTCACAGAGACACATGCACACACACACATGTGCACACACACAGACACACACTCATATACATACACACACTCAGACACACTGATACATTCACTCACAGAGACATACACAGACACACTTTCACAGAGACACACGCACACAGAGGTCTGAAGAGAAACAAAAGACTCTGCAGACTGTTAGCTTTAAAATGTACTAAGTATATTTCAGGTAGATTCTTGGTTGATGTTGCTGTTAAGGGTAATAGGGTACAGACAGGAATTTGCAGTTAAGGCCATAGTTAAACCAGCCATCATCTTATTGACCAGTGGAGCAGGCTTGAGGAGCTGCATGGTCAACTCCAGCTCAGATCTCTTATGTTCTGTAGTCACGTTGTAAAGATGAAAGTTTCTCAGAAGATATTGTGCACGTCTGTCTCTCTTTCGCTCTCTCAACAGGAAATTGGTGGCAGGGGGCTGTGTGAAGGACAAATGGAAGTTCCTCGCCAACCTAGACTTTTCACATTTCATTTATTTCGTATTCACTTCATTACATTTGTCAAATGGGCAAAATCACCTCATTAATAATCTGGCTGGCTCATGTGAGTTTCTTTGCCAGTAAGAGTCAAGCATCTGTGATGGGTCTTAACGCGGGGCTCACTGCTGTCATTGGGAAGTTCACAGAGAAAGGGCAAATTCAAAATATTAGAGACGGACAGTCTAGTAACCAGATGACTAACCAATCAGTTATTAGCAACTGAACTAAAACACTGACAAAAACTATCTGCTTCCTAGCTCCTACCACCTGGTAATGAAATGTCAGGATTCTGGGGGCTTTCTTCAGCAGATAAAAATGGGTTTTGCAGTACTGCTACATTTGGGCACCTCTCGTAGATTTAGGCTTTACTCTGCTGGATATTGATATGCAGAAGGAACACACACCGATTCCATTCAGAAACCAGACCGTTATCATGGTGGGTTATTTATTTACGATGGTCAGTTCAACTTAGCTAGGAACAGGCAGCCAGCAGTGTGCACGTTCAGTGATTTTGTTTCCAGTTGTCTTTCGCTGGCTCGGCCTTTTGTCTAAAACACCTCACCCCCGACCCCTCCCTCTCTGACCTACCCCTCCCCACGCTAGCTGTCCATCCGGCCCTGCCCCCTCATAGAGCTACACCCTCCGTCTTAAACCCCCACCAGCCTCAGGCCAGGAACTGGGAAGAAAGACACTGGCATCTTCTGAGAAAGAAGAACAGAAATTGATGGAAAAGCTCAGCAGGTCTGGCAGCATCTGTGGAGAGAAATCAGAGTTAACGTTTTGGGTCCAGTGACCTTACTTCAGAAGTTGTGAGGGTCACTGGAACCCGAAATGTTAACTCTGATTTCTCTCCACAGATGCTCTGATTTCTCTCCATTGATGCTACCAGACCTGCTGAGCTTTTCCAGAAATTTCTGTTTCCATTTCTGATTTACAGGCACCCGCAGTTCTTTCGGATTTTATTTAGCGTGTTCCTAGAGTTTGGCTGTCAGGAATGTGGAGTCATCATGTGCAATCCCACCAATTTGTAGCCATCCCCGTGTGTCTGTGGCATATAATTGAAGGGAAGCATCACCCATGGGCAGGGTACTGAGCACGATGGTGCTAGTTTCCAAACTATATGAGCGTCCCTAATTCTCAGCTCAGCAGGTCTCTGTGTCCACATATTCAACACCACCACAGCACAGTGTGATCAATCACACATTCACCCTCATTGTCCTTCCCTCCAACACAGCCTCTGGATGGTTAATGGTTAATGACCCAACAACACCCTACCAAGCCTCAGAGGCCATCAGTCATGCCACCATTAGATGGCACTGCCCAGCATGGCCATCTAATCATATGACCCTTTGAAGAGAAGGGTTAACAGACAAAGAGGGAGAGACACTTACGCAGGGAGTGCCACTCGTCTTGCCGGATGGTTTTCGTGATGTTGTATGAAAGATTTTTCGGAAGGATTGCTGAGGAGTAGTGATATTTGATTGGTGTACACCTGTTTATCACACCTGAGGGCAGAAAATATAAAAAGTGTTAGGTACATTTGACAAACACTTTGCACATCACATCTTCCCCCGCAGTCCACCCACTCCCTTACTGTGAAGCTGCTTTCTCTGCATCTCTCTTTGGCTCTCTCTCTCTCTTCATCATTCTCTTTTCCTCCCATTCTCTCACTGTCTCTCCATCTCTCACTCTCTTCCCCACTCTAAATGTTTCTCTTTGCAAAGTCTTCCTCTCAAACTCTGTCACCCAAACTCACCCTTTCCCTCACATCTCTCTCTCTGTCTGTCACTCATTCTCTCCCACATTGTCTCTGTCGGGTCCATCCTACCATTTTTGCTGGTGACATTTCTAATTTAAGGTGTTCCTGGATGTAAGGCAAACACTGTTATTGGACCAAAGCAGTGAGTGCAATGGATTCCTGGGATCCAGCAGCCAGACGCTGTCACTTCAGTGGGAACACCGCACACACACAAACAAAGTCTACATCCGACTTCCACCAAAGTTACCAGGATAAATAAATCATTCCCAATACAATTGTTTATGCTGCCAACTCTTGCCCTCCTGTGTTAAGGCCTAACTGGTGCAAAAAAGCAACTATTTTCCAGTGCCCACTTTGTGTGTGGTATCCTTGACACTGCCTACCATTGGGCTCCACTGTGGGAGGCCTTGCAGTCAGGCCAACCTTGCTTAATGTCTTTATGTACTATAAGGGACTAGATAACAACCAGGGGTCCGGGAGCGAAGGGGACTGGAGGGGGATGGGAACTGGGCAGTGGGTGGGTTTGGGGATGCATGGGGTACCCACGGAGAAGATTTCTCCAATGCAAAAGCACTGAAGGTACTTGCTGCTCCAACCAAAGCCAGTCAAGTCTGGAAGTGATACCGCAGTCCCTTGCTCACACGCATCGATGGCTAACAACGGGGAGTGCCCTTGAGTTGAATGGGCCCTAGAGACCTGAGGAGATCATTTTCCATATAGGACAAGGAGGGGAGGGTACGTCCACAGTAAGAGGAAGGGGAGAAAGGTCTATTTTGGGCAGTCTAAGTCACTTTCCTATTGTGAAATCCATTGGATTTCCACTGTATTTATCATTGGGGGTATGCAGGTCACAGAAACATTGAAAATAGTAGCAGGAGTAGGCCATTCTAGCCCAATGAACCCTTACTGCACCATTCAACCTGATTATGGCTGATCCTTTCTCTGCCATTCTCTGCCCACACCTCTTGACACCCTTAGCCTCCAGGAATCTATCCATTTCTTAAATCGATTCAGTGACTTGGAACACACAGCCTTCTGTGGTAGAGAATTCCACCACCCTCTGAGTAAAGAAATTTCTCAGTCTGAAATGACCTACCATGTATCCGGAGTCCATGACCCCCTTGTTCTAGATCTCCCCCCTAACTGAACAAGCGGGGGTGGGCTTATCCCTGCATCCACTATGTCCAGCCCTAACAGAATTATCTTCTCTTCGATTAGCTCCTCTCCCTCATTCTCCCAAATTCCAGTCAATACTGGCCTACTCATTGAGTCATAGAATCTCTACAGTGTGGAAGCAGGCTATTTGGCCCATCAAATCCACACTGACTCTCTGAAGACCATCCCAGCCAGACCTACACCCCCACCCTTTCCCTGTAACCCTGCATTTCCCACAGCTAACCCACCCAGCCTGCACATCCCTGGACATTATTGGCCTTATCTCTCCCACAGGAAACCTGCCATCCCAGGAATTAGTCTGGTGAACATTTGCTGCATTTATTCTCAGGCAAATAGATCCATTCTTAAGTAAGGATGCCAAAAGGGCACACTCTGTTCCAGAGAAGCCTATACAGCTGCAGATAGACATTCCTGCTCCTGTACTCAAATCCTCTTGCATTGAAAGTCAACATTCTTAATTACTTACTGCACATGTGCTTGCTTTCAGCGACTGGTGCATAAGGGCACTCAGGTCTCTTTGTACAACACCACTTCCCAATCTGTCACCATTTAAATGATACTTCGCTATTCTGTTTTTCCTTTCAAAGTGGATAATTTCTCACGTACCCACATTATACTGCATCTGCCATTCAACTGTTCACTCACTCAACTTGTCTCAATCATCTGAAGCCTCTTCACATCCTCCTCACCACTCTCACTCCCACTTCCATCCAGGTTTCCATTGTCAATAAACTTAGAAATACTACACTGAATTCCTTCATCCAAATCATTGATATGTATTGTGTATATCAGAGGGCCAAGCACTAACCACTGATCATCACCTTCCACTCTGAAAATGACCCATTTAAGTCTCCTCTCTGTGGTCTATCTGCTGCCCAGTTCTCTGTCCAGTGTATGCCAATCCCAAGTGCTTTCAATATTGTATACTGACCTCTTATGTGGGACTTTATCTAAGGTTTCTGAATCTCCAAATACATTACACCCACTGCTTCTCCCCCATTCATACTACAAGTTACGTCCTGGGAACAAAAAAACTCCAGTAAATTTGTCAAACATGATTTTTCTTCCACATTGACTCTGCATTGGTGTTCCAAAGTTTCATATGATCATGTCCTTTATAATGGACTCCCTATTTCTGTTGTTAAACTAAATGAGCTATAATTCCTGGTCGTTTTGAATCATTTGTCACTCCTCAATCTGCCAGGACTGCTCCAGATTCTACAAATTTCTAGAAGATGACAACCCAGGGAAATACCCGAAATGTTGACTGCTCCTTTCCTCCAGATGCTTCCTGGCTTGCTGGGTTCTTCCAGCCTCCTGTTTGTCTACCAGTAACTATTCCCATTGGGAATGCAGGTGATCAGGACCTGGGGATTTAGTAGCTTTCAGTCCCATTAATTCCTACAGCGCAATTCTTTTTTAACTAATACAAATCTCCTTCAGTTCTTATAATCCCAGGGAATGAGGAGTTGAAATCCCAGCTGTTGTGGTTTGAGAAGTTGAAGTTAGCTTTTTTAAAACATGGAAACAGGAATCTGGTCTCAGTAAACATGATATTGAGGTTGTCAGATTGCTGAAAGGATGCAACTGGTTTGTTTTTCTTTGTTCACCCATGGGATGTGGGCACCATTGGTTGCTCCTATATTTATTGCCGGTCCCCAGTTGTCCCTTGAGAAGGTGGTGGTGAGCTGCCTTCTTGAACTGCTGCAGTCCACCTGCTGTAGGTTGACCCACAATGCCCTGAGGGAGGGAATTCCAGGACTTTGACCCAGCGACAGTGAAGGAACGGCGATATATTTCCAAGTCAGGATGGTGAGTGGCTTGAAGGAGAACCTGCAAGATGGTGCTGTTCCCCTTAGCTGCTGCCCTTGTCCTTCTAAATGGGAGTGGTCATGAGTTTGGAAGGAGCTGTTTAAGGGTCTTCGGTGACTTTCTGCAGTGGACCCTTGGTGAATTTCTGCAGTGCATCTTGTAGATTGTACACACTGCTGCTACTAAGCGTCGGTGGTGGAGGGAGTGAACACTTGTGGATTTGGTGCCACTCAAGCGGGCTGCTTTGTCCTGGATGGTGTCGAGCTTCTTGAGTTTGTTGGGGCTGCACCCATCCAGGTAAGTGGGAAGTATTCCATCACACTCCTGACTTGTACCTTGTAGATGGCGGACAGGCTTTGGGGAGTCAGGATGTCAGTTACTCACTGCAGTATTCCTAGCCCCTGACTTGCTCCTGTAGCCACTGTGTTTATGTGGTGAGTCCTGCGCAGTTTCTGGTCAATGGTCAACCCAGGATATTAGGGAGAGGCAACTGGTAGTGGCTTAACCTGAGGGTCACCAGTCCTCAGGCGAGGGGAGAGGTTGAGGAAAGTCCTTCATGGTAACCTCAGCTGGTGCAGGGATTGAACCCACACTGTTGGTGTCACTCTGTATCACAAACCACTTTCACTTATTCACACACACACACACACACACACACACATTTGTTGGCGTGAATGTTACTTGCCACTTGTCAGCCCAAACCTGGATATTGTCCAGTTCTTGTTGCATTTGAACATGGACTGCTTCAGATTCTGAGGAGTTGTGAATGGAGCTGAACATTGTGCAATCATCCCCATTTCTGACCTTATGATGGAGGGAAGGTCATTGATGAAGTAGCTGAGGATGGTTGGGCCTAGGACACTACCCTGAGGAACTCCTGCAGAGATGTCCTGGAGCTGAGATGATTGACCTCCAACAACCACAACCATCTTCCTATGTGTCAGGTATGACTCCAACCACCGGAGTGTTTGCCCCCTGATACCCACTGATTCCGGTTTTGCTTGAGCTCCTTGATGTCACACTCGGTCAAATGAGACCTTGATGTTGAGGCTGTTAGTCTCACCTCACCACTGGAACTCAGCATTTTTGTCTGTTTGAATCAAGGCTGATTTTGATTTTCTTCCGTTTCCTCAGCCCCCTATCCCCCTGTACATGACTCCATTCCACAATCACCTGGTTGTCCCATTTCTTGCCTCTGGAATGGTGTAGACAGAAATTCAGTGTCAACCAGGAGTCCCACCATTACAGTAGTACAGGAATGCCAAGTCTTCCACATTACCCACATTCCAAGAATCAATTAGCAACAAATTAGATGGATGATCTACTCCAATAGATTACTGCCTATGCACTCATGTACAGTCAAGTCAGGCTGCTATGGGACGAATACAGTACTTCATAGAGACACACATATAGTGTCTACATACACACACACACGCTACAAAGACATATTCAAAGTAACCATGCGCAGCCATGTAAACACACACCAAGACATTTATTATCACAGACCCTGACACACACAGATAAAGATAGGGGAGGCAATGGCCTAGTGGTATTTTCAGTGGGCTGTTAAACCAGAGACCTAGGTAATGTTCTGGGGACCCATTTTCGAATCCCACAACGACAGAGGAGTTTGAATTCAATAAATATCTAGACCTAAGAGTCTAATGATGACCATGAATCCACTGTTGATTGTTGGGGAAAAACCCATCTGGTTCAATAATGTCTTTTAGGGAAGGAAATCTGCCAGTCTGTACCCAC